GGCTGCAGAATGGGGATGGGGGGCTTCTCTGCAGACCCATCCTACAGCCCCCTGCTTTCCCCTTCCCCAGTATAGCACTGCTGGTCTTGAGAGCATCCTCAGGGGATGGCAGGCGCGGGAGCTGCCGGCTGGAGGGTTTTTTGGGGTTTAACGATGTTGGGACCAGGCAGCTGCCAGTCCGGTGACAGCTGCGTTGGACCCCTCGGGGCTGCAGCATGCTGGGTGGGAGAAGGCATGTGCCTCAGGCCAGCCTGGCCTCAGCGATGCCCACGGTGGTCTGCCCTGCTCCCCTCAAAGAGGCCTTTTTGCGTGTCCTGGGACCTTTGGGTTGTGTCTCTGTGGGCAGCAGGTTGGGCAGGGGGAGAAGACTTCTGGCAGGGAGGACTTCATGGCTTGGGTGTCCGGCCATGCTCCTCTTTGCCTTGGAGCGCTCTGCGATGTGGCGTTAGAGCAGGTTTTGTGTCGCAGGCCAGGGCTGTGCGGTGTGACGAGCCCTGGAGAGGAAGGATGCAGCTGTGAGTATTGGTGCGTGCAGGCAGCCCCGTGGGCCTGCGTGTGGTGGGCAGGGTGGGAGGAAGGAAAGCCCTGCGGGGACTCGGTGTTAGCCCTCAGGAAGGGGTGATGGAGGCACCTCTGAAAGAGGGGCTGCTGATGCCGGGGGGTTCTTGGGTCCCCTTCTCCGAGCTGAGATGCTCTGATGGGCTGCAGCAGCGTGATTCACTGCCCAGGCCCAGAAATCCCCTTGCCTGTAGCAGGGAGAGCTGTGCAGCAGGCGCTGAAGCTTACTGCTAGCACACTCGGAGGAGCAGCAGTTAGAGGGTGAATTCAAGCGATGGCCGCATTAAGCACTTTGCATGCTTGCTTTATGGTAGCCTGCACGTCCCTGCCTTCGGCGGTGCTGTCTGGAGGGGCTGCAGGCACATGGCCACCCCGCACCCTCGCTCCCGGGGCCTGCAGACCTTGCTTGGCATCGCTCTGGACAGTGTGGATGGTGCATGGCTCTTGGTAAGCACCTGCATTCCCAGGGCATGGGGAAGGCTGAGTTGGGTTATCCTGGCTTCAGAGCCAGGCTGGGAGCAGAACTGCTTGTCCCCTGCCTCTTCCAACCACGCGGCATCACTCTGTGGAGAACAGCGAAGATGTAAAATGCATGAAAATATTTTGCTCCCCTCCTGCTATGAGATTTGTTGGTACGAGGGTAGCGCAGGGGGTGCAGATGGGTCGTGTCGAACAAGGAGCAGGCACTGCGATGAGCCGTGGGTAACGCCGAGCCATGGGAAGTGCTTGTCTGTCCTGCTGGGTACATGGGAGCCAACACGTGCTCTCTGCACCTGAAATCCTCGGTGTGCGTTTGGGGATACAGGTATACAATACATCCACGCTGAGCATATTGTATCTTGTAACCCGGGAATATTTTGCAGCACCCCTTCTGAAGCTTGGTTTTCCAGCTGGTGGGTTTAACACAGAGAGCAAAGATACAAGAATATTTTTCTGATCCTTAACATGTAATGACAATTTGGGGCATTCTGTGGCCTTTTCTCATTTCCACACGCCACAGCAAGCTCTTAAAAACAGATTGTCAAAAATACCAACGTGCAACCATTCTAATCTTCTGCTCCAAGCAGAGAGTGCTGCAGGGAGGAGGAAGGACCAGACGGTGGGAGAGAAGTTCATGGCTACCCCAGCCCCGACTTCTCCCTTGAAGATGCTGAGTCGGGGCAGACGCAACGCCCTATTTCAGCAATTCTGGTTTTGATGCCCAAAGTTGTGGTGCTCCACACAGTTTGAAGTTGAAGGGCGAGTTGGTGGTGAGGTTGCAGCAGAAATGTCCTGGTACCCTGGATGTCCTTTGTTTGTTCCAGGTGGAGTATAATTCATCTTTATCCAAACTCATGGGCCAGTAACACGGTAGCGTGCACTCTCGAGGGACTGCGGTTAAGCTGTGTGCTGCCCAGGCACCTGGGGCGGTCTGGCCACATTTTAACATTACTTCAGCAAACAAAGCCCAGGATAAACCACGTTAGAGGAGGGTTTGGTGCTGCAGGAACATGTCTTTTAGAAATACTTACACCGTGAGTAGCCTGTGTGTTTCTGAACGGCCTTCTAACTTGTGCGGGGAGAGGCAGAATCCTAGCTGCTGTACGGAGCGCCGTGTGGATCCAGCTACAAAAGGGACTCGGCAGCACGGCTGCCTGTGGCAGCAGGGCACCCTGCTCACACCCGGGAGGGTCCTTGCAGCCCTTGCATGTGCCTGGGGTGTGCTCATCTTGCAGATGCTCTTTTGGAGCCAGGGTTTGCCATCTTACGTTTGCTCTGCCTGCTGCGAAGTGCCTCGATGCTCCCAGATACACTGGGCAAATCTGCTCGCCCTTCAACCCGGGAGGAGCTGGGGGGGGTCTCTGTGGAGCCAAAGTGCTGCTTGTGGTTGCTACCTGTTGAGCAGGGGGCTTAGCCCTGCTCTGGCCTTTGGGTCTGGGGAAAGCCCTTGCTTTTGCATCGGGAAGCACAGCTGGGCTTTCCTCTCCCAGTAGCTACAGCTGATAAGTGACCAAATGTTAAATGTCTTGGGCTGGGAGGGTGGGGATGCAGGATGTGGCTCTGTGGCAAAAAGCACGCTTGCTGCTAACCCAGAGAAACCTCCTCTGAAACCAGCCAGAAAAGCCAGCTGGGCTCTGCTCTTAATGTGCTTCTAATAAGCTTAAAGGGGGAATTGTGCAAACTGTCCTGCATATGCTGTGTCCTTTCAATGTTAAATTCTCCAGCAGCTCCAGGACCATAACGTTTCTGGGCACGCCGGGGTCCAGCCTGACGGATCTGGGGTGCTGTCCCGGAGTATCTGGGCCTTTTGGCTGGGCTGGCTCTGGCGCTGCTCCAGCTGGATTAGGCGTAAGGCGAATGAACCATTTTCTTTGCAATTAGCATGATTTGTTACTTGCTCACACAACTGCGGTTACAAGAAGAGGAAAAACCTTATGATGTGATTAATTTAGGATTAGCAAAGGAGCGCGGCAGAGCTCGGTTCAAATTGCAATTAATTACCGAAGCAGCCAGGGGATCGGAGGTGTCTGTCTGCAGTTACTGGGATGTCAGTGTCTGCGAATGCCGGGTCCTGCTCCGTGGAGCCAGCTGAGGAGCTGGGACCGGTCGTCCCCACGCGCTGTCCCTCATCTCTTTGGCCGTGCTGCATCTCACAGCTTTGCTGGGTTATGCTGCGCGACTCCCACGTTAGCTGCAGGGCAAGGTTAATTCAAGCAAAGCTTTAATTTCTTCCTCCACCTTTGGGGTTAGAGTCATCGCTGGTCAGCAGAGGGATGGTATTACAGCCCCCGTAATGCCATCCCCTTTTGCCAGTACGCAACAGTACCAGGGTTCAAACAGATACGTAACGAAAGGCACGCTTCAGCCTCTGGGACTGCCCTGCTTAACACAGCTCCCCGCACCTGTACAGCTTGTCTGTAATACTAGATTAAAGCTTATATTTTAAGCTTTATTCTAAAGCTTGTTTTATTTTAGCAAACCAAAGGGTTAAATAATCGATTACACACTTGGAAACAATTACAAAACGAAACCTAAAAATAAGGAACACACACTTAATCATTTCTGAAACTAATCCCGACCCCAAGCTGTCATTTAGGATTTCTCTTAGCAGCTTTAACTAAAGGCCAGCTTGGCAGAGGGCTGCCTCGACGGGTCGGTCAGGGCAGACCCTTCCTGGAGGACTTTCATACCAGTTTCCCTGTAGTGTTGATGAGAAGCTGATGTGCACGAATCAATCTTCAAAGCCGCTTCTGGACCATGACTTCCCTTTCCTTCCCCAATTACTTGGGAAAATGTATTGTATTAGGAGCTCTGATTAGCTGGGGCTGTTTGTGAGGAGGTTAATGAATCACTGCTCCGCGTTGTCCAGGGCTGTGATGTGTAAAAACGTTTTGATATGCTGATTCCTTGTCGCAGAGCGATATCCCAGAGCTGTGTCGAGCTGCTCTCACCGTGACTCCTTTCCTCGGCAACACCGCAGACGTTGTGAACCTTTGCAAGGCTTTGTGATAACGCGCAACTCCAAGTGTTGTACGGATGAAGGGTTTTTTTAGGAGGCTGACAGTACAATATGGACTGTTAATATTTCCAGGGGCAGCGCACATGGCGTGTGTGTAGCACAGGGTGCCGGGCTGGGCAGCTGAGTGGGTTCCTCCTTCTGCCAGTGTCGTGGGCTTGGGCCATCCCTGGTGGAAATGGCAAAGGTAAGAGGAAAGCTGTGGCATAAGTCAGCCCGGGGCTTTGGGCAGGGCCTGATTGCTTTGGCTTAGCCCTGTGTAAAAGCAAAAAGTGAGCTGATTTTGTTAACGTTGTGCACGTAGTTTCAGACTTTGAGTGCAATCAGCGTGAACAAGGGGGCAGGAATGAGTGTTTGGATGCCTTGGGGATGGGGGAAGAGCAGCTCCATCCTTCCTTAACGAGGCCTGGAGGGCTGTGATCAAATTAATTGTGAGAGGGTGAAGTCTGGAAAGGTCTAGCTGAAAAAAAACCCCAAAAGATGAGCAGGCTGCCACAAAAAGCAGAGTCTGGTAGTCTGGTGAGCCGTGCGTGGTGTGGCAAGGCACGCTGCCAGGTGTGCGTACGCCTTACAGGCTATGGGGACCTTTGTAAATGCCCCAGCTCAGAGCCCGCTGGGTTGCACCGCTCTGCTTCATTCACAATGGTGGTCAGTAAATGTGCCGCTGCAGGAAAAACTCCCGTGGGATCCTCCCGGTGTGAGATTTTTCCTCTGGGGCCCTCCCAGCAGCCTAATTACTGAGCTAGGCGGGAGGGCTGCAGGTGCCTCCCTCCCCATTTACCCTCCCCGTCTTTGCTTATCCAAAAGCCGTGCCTTTAGAAATGGAGTGGATCTTGGCTGGCTTAGCTTGTTTCTCTGCCCCTCTTTTTATGGGACATGAACTGCTGAGGCAGAGGGCAGGGGAAATGGTTTAGTTTTTTCTTTAATTGAACTCTGGTTGTCTTAGCAGGCATATCAATACTGCTTGAAACTTGCCCTGCCCTCCCCTCGAGGTCTTGCACTCTGTCCTGCGTCACCGCTCTGCATCTTCACGGGGTTGACGCTATTTTTGCTCGCTTCCTCCTGAGACTCTTCAATCTCATAATCTCCTAATCTCCAGCTCCTAGCAATTCATCTGCAGTTGTCTTTTATACCTGGCTTACGTCTTGGGAGTTGTCTTCAAAATAGCTTCTGACCTTGTTGGCTAATGCAGGTTAAGAAACAGGCCTGCATAGCGACAAGAGCCTTCTCCTTCCCCAGATTCTTGTTATTGCCTGTGTTGGGGAGAGACGTCCCTATTACAAGTCACTGCTGTCGCATCGGTCTCTTGTACAGCATCCTCCTGATTTATACCCATTTTCATGACCAGATTTTGAGTTCTTTCTTACCCCAGGTACAGTCTGCTTTCCTCTGTGGGCTATTAAAGCCTTAAAATAGGAGCTGTCCGATCTGAGCTTAGATGCTCTGATGAGCACCGCAGAAATATCTGTAATGCCTGTGAGAGGGGACACATGCTTTCTCCTGATTGCAGAGAAGGAGAAAGGATCCTGAAAGGAGCACAACAAGGACTGTGAACCCTGTTTCCCATGAACTCCTCTTGATAAAATGTGCCTGGTGCGGTGGTTGCAAAGGAAATCTGAAAATATAGGATCGACTTTTAGCTTTCTCTGATGAGGATCAAACACCTAATCTCATCCATTGGATAATGGCAATAACAGAGAGAGGGCAGGAGGAGAAAGTGCCTTCATTAGCTTTCTTCTTGTATTATCTAGCACTGTATTATCCCTCACCTTTTGTGCTCCTTTGTAACAGCAGCTTGCTAAAATACGTGGCTGGAAATATGCACCAGGGTTCACAGCGTACCGTTGTTCGCAAGAGAATAGGCAGTGCCCGCTGTCACTGTCTAGGCTATTTTGCCAGTTTCTTTTGCAATCGTGGTTGTTTTGGGGAGGGGGGAAGGTTTCCTGGATGAGAACCGGCTGTCCTCTGGGTTGGACAGCAGAGGTACCACCTCAGACCTGTAAACAGGGAATGAGCATCCACTGTTTCTGGTAACAAAGCTAGAGACCTCTTAATGAATGCCTTGTTACAGGTTGCTGTTTGGGGTTCTTTTGGAATCACTTTTTCATACAGAGGGAATAGGAGAATTAAAGAAGAAGTCCATTGTGTCTGGCTCAGGAAGTCCATCACGTCCCCTGCTTCCTGAGACCACCACAGTGTTGCTAGTTGTGCTTCCAGACTCTACAAAACCATGGTAGGTCTTAAGGCAGAAAGTGTCTCTAATAGCAGGGAGTTGCAGATCTGTGGGCATGATACAGAGATTATGGGAAGGCAGCTGCAAAGG